AGTAGCCGTCAAAAGCAGCAACCCAGCAAACTGGGACAGAATTTTGAGGAGGACCCTCAAAATTCCGTAACGAGAGAGGTTGCAATATCCTGAACCACGTCACAGTTGTTGGTTCATCTAAAACTATTTCTTAAATACATATACATATGCCATATATCTAACAAAATCATGCATGTTTATTATCGAAATTTCTTTGTTTAACAACGCTACCCCAAGGGTACCTACAGTATCACAAAAAAAAAGAGCCGAGCCGGTAAAGCGAAGTCAGCAGGAATACGAACTAACCTTTCCCCTTTACAAAACACACAATTTTTCTTTGAATGCATGCACCCAAGTCACAAATCATCGAATACATTTATACACTCATACTTTTCAGGAATACAACTCTCGGAATTATCGCTTCACAACCGCTATCCGCATACAATATCTCTAGTAGCCACAATCAGCAACCAGCTATCAGCTATCAGCTAAGAAGTCTTTATTACTATTCGTCTCTCATCCTCTGCATAAGGCTACTATTCTGCCTTCCGAGGTTAAGCTCTACCTCCGCATTTTTTGCATTGCATAAGGCTACTATTCTACCTTCCAAGGTTAAGCTCTACCTCCATTTGCATTTTACTATTCTGCCTTCCGAGGTTAAGCTCTACCTCCATTTGCATTTTTTGCATTGCATAAGGCTACTATTCTACGTGCCGAGACTAAGCTCTGTCTCTATTATTCCATAAGGCTACTATTCGGCCTTCCGAGGTTAAGCTCTACCTCCGTTTGCATTTTTTGGCATTGCATAAGGCTACTATTCTGCCTTCCGAGACTAAGATCTGTCTCCATTATTGCATAAGGCTACTATTCTGCCTTCCGAGGTTAAGCTCTACCTCCATTTGCATTTTCTGCATTGCATAAGGCTACTATTCTGCCTTCCGAGACTGAGCTCTGTCTCCATTTGCACGGCTGAAATATCGCCACCTCATTTAAATCGTGCATCGGCTGAATGATCGCCATTTTATTTACATTTTTTTCATGGCTGAAATATCGCCACTCCATTTAAATCCTGCATCGGCTGAAAGATCGCCATTTTATCTATATTTTCTGCACGACTGAAATATCGCCACCTCATTTAAATCTTGCATCGGCTGAAAGATCGCCATTTTATTTACATTTTTTGCATGGCTGAAATATCGCCACTCCATTTAAATCCTGCATCGGCTGAAATACTGCCACCTTTCTTTTACGCCTTGCATCGGCTGAAAGATTGCCACCTGCTGCATTTCATGGGCTGAAAGATCGCCAATTGTCTAAAGGCATCATTGTTCAGAGGCACCATTTTCATAGCCCGAGAACGCCATGCCATGGCCTGAGGACCTCACTTTCTCTCTACAAGCATTATCCAATGGCATCATGGTTCGGAGGCGTCATTCTCATAGCCCGAGAACATCATTTCATAGCCTGCGAATCCTATATTATATGTTTCATGGCCCAGGACATCATGGTCTGAGGACGTCATCCTAACCGTCCAAAGACAGCATTCATGGTCCAAGGGGAACTTGCATCACGTTTAAATTTATGCACAATATATGCGCTTGTATGTTTTTTTGCAGGATAACCGGCTAGCAACGGCCATCTCAGCAGGAGAAATCCCGCTCCGGTTCCCGCAGCCTACTGACTTGATCGTCTTCCACCCGACTATCTCGTCCGTTCTGGAAAAAATCTTCATCGACGTGTTCTGTCGATGGGTCCCGAACTACATATGGCCTGATTCATGTAAGACCAAGGATATGTAGGCGGCTCAGGAACCAGGTCTCGGTCAAAACTCTTCAAACCGTTTCGTTCGGTCAAAATTGGCCATCATATCTTTACCCGACAACTCTTTCATCCTTCCCGGGTAAAGAGGGGCAGCTGTTGATACCCAATTTTTCCCCATGTATTTTTATACACAAAATGCTTTCAATATAACATGTACATGCATATATAAGCATGCCCAAGTGTTTTGGTATTTTTCATAATTTTTAAAGACGTCAGAATCAATTTGTTATCCATTTTAACAGTACAAAAATCAGTAATTATTCCCAAAACTATCAATATTGGTGAATAATTTATTTTATTCTCATTATTATACCAAGATATAGTTGAGGTGATTTTTTTGTATATTTTTACAAATTTATCTGGTATTTTTAAAGCTAAATTGCATACAATTGCAATTTTTAGCCTATTTTAAGATTAATAGCATTTCTATAATTGAAAATTTTGCTTCAATATTTTTAATTAATATTTATATATTATTAATTGGTTCAGTACTTTTAATTTGTTTTTAAAATCATTTTTTACTATTTTTATAAATAAAAGGGGAAAACTGGATTTAACATTTTGCCTCATTTTATTGCAATTACAGCCTCCTCTGCATTTCAATTTTAACCTTAAATTGACCCAATTCTACCCCTATTTGGACCAGCCCAATTTCATTTCAACCCGGTTCCCCGACCCAATTTAAAATCCGCCCGTTTCCTATCTTTGATCCAGGCCGTTGATCATTTTGATCAACGGCCATAAACCCCCCTTACCTTTTTAACCCTGAACGACCTACCCTAATCCCCCATTTCAAAAAACCCTAAGCCCAAAACGCGCGCGTTGGAGTCTAGAGAGAGAGGCTCTGGCGATTTTTTGCTCCTAGAGAGAGAAACACGTGCGATCAGCTGCCATGGCCAATTTGGCCGGCGGCCAGCCTTCTTCTCTGGCTGGTCAGCCTTCCCCCACCATCGCCCAGCCTCCCACGACCTCGAACGACAACCATCAGCTTTTAGATTATTCGAAAATATTAAAACCTAGTACTATGAACAGTACCATGCATGAACGTCAATCATCAGTTGATCCAATTCCATTGAGACGTGCGACAATGGTGAATGGATTACCAGTTGTTAAGTTTACGGAAGCAGAAGTGGATAGAATGAATGTGATCGAGGGACTTCAATATGCAGTAGTTGCAAAATTTGCGTATGGATGGCTAGAATAGAATGAGATTCGTCGCATTGTTCCTTTACAATGTGGAATAAAAGGGGAAGTAGCATTGGTTATTTAAGAGATAGACATGTTCTTATACGCATGACATTATGGCAAGACTTTGTGGATTTTACGTCCAAGGGAACTCAATATGTGAAGGATAAGCATGGCCAAGAATATCAGTTAAGACCTCTCATATACGATGTAAAGTTCAAAGCTGGAGAAGAGACCCCTATGGCTATGGCATGGATTTCATTCCCAGGATTGTTACCCACATATTTTGTGAAGGAATGTTTATTCTCACTTGCTTCAGCTGTGGGAAAACCTATTCATCTGGATATGGCAACGATTAACAAGACAAGGCCTAGTTGTGCAAGGGTCAAAGTCCTAGTGGATTTATTAGCAGATCATCCTAAGAAGGTTAAGATGGATATTCTCAATGAAACAACTGGAGAAATAAGGGTAGAATGGGTCAATATTAAATATGACATGTTACCAAAATATTGTAAGGAGTGTAAGTTGCAGGGCCATGATTTATTTGAATGCTGGAGAATACACCCAGAGTTATATGTGGAGAAAGAAAGCAATAATCAAACAGGTGCAGGTGATGATCAAAATAATGCCAATAATCAACCTATAATGATCCTGTCAAGTGGAAAAGTGGTAGGTAATGTGCATGGTAATTCAAAGGAACAGTGGAAAGAAGTTAGAGACAATAGAACAAGGAAGGTGGATAATCAAAGGGTAGTTCAAAGCAATACTGGCAAGGAAATTGTTCCAGCTCAACAGAGTGATTTGCAGCAACTTAATGTTGACAAGGATGGGAATGCAGTACCAAAAAGAACTGAAGGAAGTAAAGAAAAACAGACCATGGATGTGGATAATGGATCAAATAAGCAAGTGCAGGTGGCCAATCAATTTGCAGTGTTAGAAGTTGTGGATGAGGAAGAGGAGCCTAGTAATCAATTGGCACTGGTAGCTACAACAGGTAGTCCTAAAGGTCCAGTAGCAAGAGAAACAAATGGAACTCAACCAAAGACAGGAAACTTGAATCCTGCAGCTGCAACTTTCAATCCAAACTCATCAGGTATTGGTTCTACAAATGGGAAAGGAAGCACAACTCCTATGGGAAAGGACAAATCAGTTACAAAACATAGGGAATCAACTGCACAGTGGGTAGAAAGAACTTTCAATGCTATGACAGGTGATAAGGGAGTGGAAGTCAATACATCATGTCAGGAGATTCCTTCACAAGATACCATGGTGGAGTTGGGATTGGCTAACTGTCCTGAACTTCAAACAGCTGGAACTAAAATTCCTCCTATTAGGGAAAGAGTTGAAATGAATGGAGGTAGATTATGGGCAGATCAAAGAGAAGCAGATCCAGAAGAAGAGGATGTTCCAGATGGAGTACCAATAGATGAGGAGCCAGTTATACAAGAACAAGAAGAAGAAGAAGAACAAAGTGTAAATGGACATCCCACTGACAAAATAGGCAACATAGCTGGAGTCAAACTAATTGAAGGCAAGGAAAAAGTGCAAGAAGTAGGCAACAAAGGTCCTGAAAGTGAGAAGCTATTGCATCAAGCTGTGGATCCAGGAGGTACATGGGAAGCTAAGGATGGTCAAAAAAGTAAGGAAACTAAAGAAAAAACTCCAACAAAGATAAAAGAGCAGATGTTAGTGGCTCCTGCAGCTGTGGAACAACTGAAGATTTTAAAGAGAGGGGAAACACTGCCAGAAATTCAAGTAACAAGTAACAGACCAATCATGGGGGAATTTGAAGCATATGAGGCTCATGAGGATAATGATATGAGCAGAGATATGGACCAAGAATCAACAACTCAGAACTTTGCAAAAATAGCAAGATAGGGTGACTTGTCACCAAGATACACGGAGAAGGCTAAATCAGCAACAAGGGGAAAAAAGAAACAGTAGAAGGACACCAGTAATGTTCTTACTATTGGTGTTCAAACAAGGAGATCACAGACTAAATCCAATAATCAGTAATGGATGCACTCATATGGAACATCAGGTCAGTTAACACACAACAGGCCTTTGAAAGGCTAATCAAATTACACAGGAAGAATCATTATGAATTCATAGGACTAATAGAGCCTAAGCAGCAATCAAAGAAATTGGACAGGTACAGGAGAAGGATTGGTTTTGCTCAGGCCATTTCAAATGTTTCAAATAAAATTTGGGTTTTTATAGATGAAGTCTTTGAGGTATCTATAGTATACAATATGGTACAACAGTTGACTCTAAAATTATTCCATACTGAATCACATGTGGAACTGACGCTCACTCTAATATATGCAAAGTGTGACCACATTGAAAGAATAGAACTGTGGGATTCTTTGTATGCTATGGCAAGTGACATGACTATACCTTGGTTAGTAGGGGGTGACTTCAATGTCATATGGGATGAGGAAGAAAAATTTGGTGGTTTAACTTGACAGATCTTGGCTTCAAAGGTAGAATTTTTACTTGGTGGAATGGGAGAGGTGAAGAGGATTGCATTTTCAAGAGGTTGGATAGATGCTTGGGAAATGCTGAATTTCAGGAAACTTTTCCTGGGATTGAAATAACTCACTTGTCAAAGATAGGCTCAGATCATTGTCCTATGCAATTGAACTGTGATATTGAGACTCCTCCTGTGAAGAAGCCTTTTAGGTATCTGAATTTCTGGGTTGAGGATGAGTCATTTAAAGAGACAGTTAAGCAGCATTGGAATGCAGATTTTGAAGCACATCCTTTTACAATGTTCAATCACAAGCTGAAAAAGGTAAAGAAGGCATTGACTGTGTGGAGTAGGGCTACATTTGGAGATATTTTTCAGAAAATTGCCAGTTTAGAAGAGGTTGTCATGGTATATGAACTAGAATTTGAAGCTAATCCTACATATATGAACAGAGAAAGATTACAAAGAGTTCAGGTAGATCTCTTTAGAGTATTGGCATTAGAAGAGAAATACTGGAGGCAAAAAGCTGGAATGGAATGGTTCAAAGATGGGGATAGGAATACAAAGTTCTTTCATGCTCAAGTAAGAGGTTGAAGAAAAAGGTTAAAGCTAAACAGAATTCAGAATACAGAAGGAAATTGGATTGAACGGGAAGATGAAATTGCAGCAGAAGCAGTTAAGTTCTATGAAGAACAATTCAAAGAAGCATCAAATACTACTGCCACCTCTTTTGATATCCTAAATCATGTTCCACCTATGCTCAATGAGGAACCGAATTCAGCATTGGTAAGACAACCAACAAAAGATGAAGTTAAAATGGCAGTTTTTGGATTGAATGGAGATAGTGCAGGAGAGCCAGATGGATTCACAGGTAAATTCTACCAGTCTTGTTGGGACATAATAGGTGATGACGTGTATGATATGGTAAGAGCCTTCTTCAATGGCCATGATTTACCTAAAAGTGTAACACATACTAATTTAGTACTGTTGCCAAAGAAGAAAGATGTGGTCACCTTTTCTGATCTTAGACCCATAAGCCTCAGCAATTTCAGTAACAAGGTTGTATCAAGAGTTATTCATGACAGATTGGTGGATTTATTGCCTAATTTGATCTCTGAGGAACAAGCAGGATTTGTCAAAGGAAGGAGCATTGTAGAGAATATCTTGCTTACTCAGGAAATTGTCACGGATATTAGGTTAAGAACAAAAGTTGGGCCAAATGTAGTTATGAAATTGGACATGACAAAGTCATATGATAGGATATCTTGGCTTTTCTTAACTAAGGTGCTTAGAAAGATGGGATTTTCAGAAATGTTTATTGGCATGGTGTTTGGACTTGTTTCAAATAACTGGTACTCAGTTCTTATAAATGGGCAAGCACATGGTTTCTTCAAATCATCAAGAGGAGTCAAGCAAGGAGATCCTTTATCCCCTACCCTATTTATCTTAGCAGCAGAAGTTCTTTCAAGGAGTCTAAATGCTTTGCATCAGAATCAGCTCTTCTGTGGATATGGAATGCCTAAATGGAGTCCAAAAATTAATCATCTAGCATATGCTGATGATACAATAATATTCTCCTCATCTGATGCTATTTCCCTGCAATTAATCATGGAGTTATTGGCTGCATATGAGGCTGCATCAGGTCAACTAGTAAACAAGTCCAAATCTGCAGTATATCTACATCATCTATGTGACTTGGAGGACTTTGAAAAAGTGGAAAGGATTACTGGAATTAAAAAGCAGGACTTTCCTATTATGTATCTAGGATGTCCTATTTTCTATTCTAGAAGAAAGCTGGATTATTATCAAGGGTTGATCACAAAGATAATGGACAAGCTGCAATCATGGAAAGGGAAGTTATTGTCTATTGGGGGCAGGGCTGTGTTGATATCTCATGTGTTGCAGAGTATCCCAATGCATCTTTTGTCAGCTGTGAATCCTCCTAACTTTGTGATTAATAGACTGCACAAAATATTTGCTCAGTTCTTCTGGAGCAGCTCTATAGGAGGTACTAGCAGACACTGGGCATCTTGGAACACTTTATGCATGCCAGTTGAAGAGGGAGGGATTGGATTCAGATCCCTTCATGATGTGTCCAGGGCATTATTTTCTAAATTATGGTGGAACTACAGAACAAGGCCAAGCTTGTGGAGTTCATTCATGAGCCAAAAATATTGCAAGAAACTTAACTCGGTTATAGTACCATGGAGAGAAGGATCACACATATGGAGAAAAATGATTGAATGCAGGGAGATGATTGAACATCAGATAGCTTGGCACCCAAAAATGGGATCTTCACTCTTTTGGTTTGATAATTGGACAGGTTTGGGGGCTCTATACTTCAATGTACCTCAGGAATTTGGAATAGATGAAACAGTGCACAATGTTTTTGATGTGTAGAAGGGGGAGCATGGAATGTGGACAGGTTATTTGAGATATTACCAGAGGATCTTGCACTGCACATTTTGGAGAAAATAAAACCACCTTCAGTACCAAATGTTGTTGATGTACCATACTGGATGTTAGAGCCAAGGGGTTATTTCAGTGTGAAGTCTGCATGGGGTTTTCTGAGGAGAAGAGAAGACCCAAAGGTTGCTTTTAAGATGATATGGGTCAAGAGATTGCCATTCAAAATTGCTTTTTTCATGTGGAAAGTCTGGAAAGGAAAGCTACCTTTAGATGACTTTATAAGGAGGATAGGATATTTGTTGGCATCCAAATGTTGGTGCTGCACAGATCCAAAAGAAGAAACAATGCAGCACCTGTTCTTTCAATCAGATACAGCAAGATTTGTCTGGAGATATTTTCTTTCAGGAGCTGGAATCAGACATCAGGGCTTAACATTACATCAAGCAATCACTAAATGCTGGACTATAGAAGTATGTCACAGACTAAAACCTATCATGCAAGCACTACCATCTTGCATTGTATGGGAGTTGTGGAAAAGAAGGAATAGTATGAAATATGGAGATACAGTATCTACAGGCAGAGTGATATATCAAATATCATCCAATTTACAGGCTCTAGTAAAGGTGAGAAAACCAGGAATTGAGAATGTCCCACATAGATGGCATGACCTTTTAGCTATGATGGAAAACTTCATTCCTAAGTTGAAGGTGACTAAAGTGCAATGGGAATTTCCAAGTGCAGGAGGGTTGAAGGTGAACACTGATGGTGCATCAAGGGGAAACCTAGGGAGAAGTGCAATAGGGTACTGTATTAGAGATGATCAAGGGGATATTGTGCTGGAAGTAGGGAAACAAATACATGAGACTACAAATACTGTAGCAGAGGCAGTGGCAATAGTAGAAGCACTGCAATTTTGCAGATCACAGCATATGACACAAGTGTGCATCCAAACTGACTCAATGCTAATGAAGAAAACCATTACTGGGGAATGGAAACCTCCTTGGTCTATAGCAGAGGAAGTAGAAGAAATTAATCAGCTGATGGAGGGGACTAATTATGAGGTTTCTCACATTTTCAGAGAGGGTAATAAACTGGCTGATCACCTGGCTAATTATGCACTTGATTCCGGGGATATTGAATGCCATGAGTTTGGGGAACTTGATTCATTGGGCAGGAGAATAGTCAATGAAGACAAGATGCAATGTCCACACCTAAGGGTAAAAGTAGCCAAAAACTAATGCAGGTGGAGATAAGGGAAAGTTCCAAACAGGATATATGTGATCAACATTGCCAAATCCTAAAGGAGGAGGAAATGAAGATCATTTTTTTATCTAACTGGTTGTCTTATTTTGCAGGTACAGGTATGCTATCTATACTTTATTTTTTAAGGAAACCTAAGATGGTGGTATTAGTACTTAGTACTCAGTCCATATGGGTAGAATTAAACATAGAGTATAGTATAGTAACAAGGAGATCCACAGAGTGTGTAGCAAAAATTGGGGAAGTTTGGTCCTGGTGGGAATCACTGGGTAGCATTTACAAACTCCCACAGAGGAAAACACACTATCACACTCACAGAAGAAGGAAAGCAACAATCAATACAAAAAACAAGCATAGACATGGTAGTACACAGACACACAGCCTGCAGACATCAAATTCCCACAGTTTGGGAATCCAGATGGATGATACACCTGTGGAAGAGAAAAACAAACCATATAGAGAGATTCAAGGAAATACATACAGGGAATCAGCATACACCAAATCCTTTGGGAGGAGGATATGATGATCAGAGAATACTCAAGGGGCCATTCATGTGGTCATTATGCTCAAATCCTCTGGGAAGAGAGCATAGTGATTATTTTAACTAACTTAGTTTGTTTTTTTGCAGGTACATGGGCTTTGCTATTGTTCTATGGTGTAATGGAGATTCAGTTGGTGGTATTAATGCTCAGCATTCATTCCAATGGATTAAAATTAAATCTAGACAATATCACAAGTAAAAATTTCCTCAAAAGGCAAGGAATTGCATCACAGAGACAACAACACACAAAACGAAAAATCAACAAACCATATGATGTCACAAATGCATACAGGATGCTGACAGCAAAATTCCTTTCAATCTCAAAGGAATTTAGTTGGATGATGCATATGTGCAAACAAAACATACAAGGATTCAATCACTCATTAGGAATTCATATCCACAGGCAAAGCAGAAATCACAGAAGAAACAAAAAATAAATCAGAAAGAGGAAGAGAAGACTGTTACTCTTAAAACATTTTACAAAATCCACTCGCATAGTCAAGGAAATCTGAGAAGCATTTCAGCAATTTTGTCCGGAACACCAACATGCACCACAAGGAAAGCTAAGCAGGGAAGGTTCTTGAGCAGTACATCCACTCTTAGAGCTGGACACTCTTCGATATCTCTAACTAGATGCGGTAGGCAAGATTTAGCTGGAATATTTGCAGGTAAAAATCAATTCCAATCAGCAGCAGCAGGAAATCGAGATGCAACAAATAGGAAGATAAACAAGAGGATAGAAAACAGTTGAATAAGGATGAACTTCAGGGAAGAAATGTTGTACAGAGATGGGCGAAATGATAGAGGCAGATGGTCTGAAATGGAAACAATGAGTGTGATGATAGGAATAAATGAGCAAATGTGGGATATAACTGGTGACAACATGTGTGCAAGGAGAGAGATTCGACAATTGTGGCTAAATGTGCAATATACGACGTGGGGAGTTTATAGGACTGAAACAGGTTATAATTGTAAAGAGAATACAGTGTTGAATTGGGCTGGAAAGGTTATTGAGATATTGGGCTGGTTATTGAGGAACTGGGTCAAACAATCTGGGCCATTTTATATATGGCTGTATTTGCAAGTCAGCAGTTGGAAAGTTGTTGGTTATTTGTGCAGTTTTGGACCGAAATGGGCCACTTCTGCTGGCCAAATAAAACAGGCTACTTGGACGCAACAATGGAGATAATTTACACATGGGCTAGTTTTTATTTTACAATGTTTTATAGTATTAATGTGATATCAATTTTGAGTATAACACTCAATTTTGATAATAGGATATATGTAGAGATCAAATTTTATTACTTTACACTTATTAGGACTTCATGACATTTGTTTTCATTTTATTTATTAATAAAAACTAGCCCTAGGTACTTGCCTAGTGGATTTTAAAAAAAAATCCCCCATTTCACCTAATCCGCCGCCTTTTAATCCCAAACTCTCTCAAAACTCTTCGGAACCCTAGCTTCCTCCTACCCCCTTTTCAACCGCCTTTCACCGGAATCCATGGCTTCTCAGGCCATGGATGGTTGGTACTCACCCCCTTCACCAGTAAACCATGGTTGTTCGAAGCTTCGAGACCTAACCTCGACGGTTCTCTTTCAAATCTTCTCAGATCTTTGGTTCCATGGCCTCTCAGGCCTTTGCTCCGGCATATTCAAGACTCAGGAGCCTGATTCCTGATCTCTTCGACTCAGGATCTGATTCCTCTTCCAAACCTTTCTCATTTCTAGGGTTTCTCCGAAACCCTAAGCTATTCGAGGTTTTTTCCCTGTTGTTTGCTTAGATCTATGCTGTATCTATGCTTTACTTGACATTTAAACTGTTTTCCCCAAAGTTTCTTTTCAAAATTGTTTGTCTTCGATTTAGGGTTTCTGAAAGGATTGTTAAAAAAAACGTCTTTCTGATTCTTCTTCTTCTTTGTTGTATGTGTGTTTGTCTATATCATGCTCGTGTGATTTCTTCTTACTACGCATGTACTGTCTTTCTACTCTTCTTTTTCTACTATACATGTTACTCCTATGTTAATCCTTGTTATGTTTTCTTTACTCTTTTACTATATGTGTTTACCGTTGAGTTCTTTGATTTTGTTTTACTGAACTCTGTTCGTGTTCTTGTTAAACATGTTCCATCTACTTTTGTTTAAGTTTGTATCATCTCTTTCTTCTGAACTTGTTTAAGTTCCGAGTTTTCTCAAATATGTTCTTCATGATCTTGAATCAGCTTTCTTCCTTTGTTGTTCAAACATGCTATCATATTTTGTTTTGTTTCTCATGAGGCTCTGAAACAAACCTTTGAGTCTGTTTCAATGGCTTGCCCTCTC